GCAGTAATGGTTTTGAGTTTCAGAATGACAACGGAATCCTGCGAGATTGGCGTAACAAAAGTAACAAAATAATTAGACTTTAGTATTAAATTAAAATTAAAATTAAATAAAGAATATGTTTATGATTATGAGTTAAATATTTAAATTAGGTTAAATATAATATTTTTTCTTTGTTTTTTTAATATTTTGCAGGAAATGAAAATCTTTCCAAAGCGGGCAAAATATCCTGCAAAATTCTATGGAGATCTATGAAATTGCCATCCTTATTTGAGTCTTGGGAAGTTGATAGTGGTGATAGAAAGCTTTCTGGGTTTCCATTTTTGGGATGTGGAAGACATAATGAGATAGAGGGCAGAGTTTCCTTGTGCTGGCCTTGGGATCTCTGGTTGGAAGAGAGGTTTTGCTACTGTGGTGATGGGCATCCTGGGGATTGACGTGTTGGGGTGACGGGCGTTGGAGGCGAAGGTGGTGGTTGCTTTCTGCAATCGATTTAATTTATAGGGAGAAATCTTAGGATTATTTTGTTTCGTAATTGGGTTAAATCTCCTTATTTATAAGATGTCATATGATTTTAGAGATTCTAATGAGAGGATACATAGGAAGAAAATTAAATAAAAGAGCAAAAAAAATTTTTTTTGTTGTATAATAAAAAGTAATTATTTTTTATTTTTTATTTTACTTTACTAGCATGTCATGCAATTCAAATTTAAATATTTTATCTTTAATAAAAAAAAAATAACACTTAGGTGTTTGACACAAAAGAGCAAATCTTTAAATTCATTTTGAGCGGTAGGTTTTCTTGGACTTAGGTTTAAAGTAACTTGAGATTTTGAGTCAACATTAATTGTTCATTAGGTTGTTTTAGAACTTTAGAATCTTTTTATGAGCCTCTTTAAGAATTTAAAGGCAAATAGTTCTAATTTGCTTATCCCTTACAGTACCTTGATGATATTCAATTTTTTATATATATATATATATATATATAAAAGTTGAAATCAATTTATATGTTAATATTTTTAAACACTCTAATTAGTTATAAACTAATAAAATTAAAATAAAAATAAGTAAACATTTACAGTATATTTGTGCCTTAACAAATGTTTGTGGGCCATAATCATGACCGACCGAGATCTGTTAGCAGAATTCTCGATATCTCTTCTACCCTATTGGAATGGCTTGAGACATCGAAAGACACCTGATGGATTGAAGAAACCAACTAAAAGAGGGACCCAAAACATTAGAGGATGAGTAGATCAGAAGAACTAATAAAAAAAGTAATATATAAATCATTGTCAACAATAGAAGCTCTGGTATTCACCAGAAACTACAAAAGCATCTCCATGCATGCGGCCTGTTTGAGCAGCCATGTGGGTAGGCAACCCTTCATCCCAGTCACAAAAGATGATGTGAGTCTTGTCTTTTTATCCACCAGAAATCTGGTAGTTGCCGTGTTGTCAACCGTAGAAGCAATGGTAAGGTAAGAGCCGTTATATCGTGTTCATCGGTCACAGCCAATGGCTCTGACATCCTCTCCACAAAGTCATTTCTCTCACCTGTCGCATGAGCAGCATGGAGAGTGGTTCTTGCCATGGTTGCTTCTGGGTTTTTCTTGAAAATTCTGCTGCCGGTCCCAGACTCCCGGTGCAGCCTTGTTCAATGACGGATACCTGCTGAGGTCCTGCAACTGACTTCGTTCACTTCTGATTAAAAAAATGAAAATGAAGAAGAAGAAGAAGACAAACAAAGAGAGAGTGAACAAGTAACTACAAATTTTGTTTTTCTAAATAAAGATTACTTATGAGGTCGGTATTGTTGTCGACATTGATCATCAGAGGTGATTGCAATGAAGAGGAATTGCCATTCTTGTTGAAAAAACCACTCTCTGCTCCTGGAACTACTCAGTAATTACACAGAAATCTAATTGACAAGTGATACTGAGTATGATGATTCCTATATTCCTTGTGCGTTGCCTTTGATTCGCAGAACAATGCAACTGCAATTGTGTTGTGGAATGATCTTCTCTTGTCTCTGTTATAGAAAGACAAGAAGTGTACAATGCACCACTTAATTGTCACGGTTAACTCTGAAAACAATAATATGAAGGCTTAGACAAGGAAGGAAAATTACCAAACCAGAAAACTCTAGATCTACAGGTGACCGAGCACAGAATTTTTTCCTCCATACAGGGACGTTCGATTACGAACGCCATGGTTGTCTCACCAGTCAGCATTTTGCATATCATGTATATTTTACCTGGCTGGAATGTGATCTCTTTCCAGGGTCAAAAGATCAGCAACTGCAAGCTCCATTTATTATTCCTCTGAATATGTGAATTTGTCTCCAAATCCAGCGTATTTCCTTTCCAATAGGCTCACAACATCCAAAGTTAATATTTTATATTGAAATGGGTGGAGAACTTTGTTCAATATTGAAGTATAGACATTTGAACACAGTGGTGTTACAAAATAATTAACTTCACAGATCAGTCATTTATCTATTTGGAACAGAACGCTTACACAGCATGTACAATTAACCGAGCAGTTGCAGTTCCAACTGACTGCCTTTTTGGGTTTCAGTCTCCTAATTCTAGGTTGCACAAGAATATTCACGTCTACAATTCCAGTGTGTAAGGAATAAGGATTTCCATTTTCATGTAAAAAACAGAGAAAAATAGAAGTCCAGAATCCAGGTTGAATTAAGTTTTTTTATGTCTTGACACAAAGCAAGTCAGTCTGCTCTTCTAACAACTGAGAGCTTGCCAATTCAACCATCTGGTAGAGAATCAAACAACGTGTATCACTATCAGTCGGTCATGAAAACTAACTCAAGGGTAGAAAATGAGGCCATGACTCATCAATGGAAAGACTAAATGTTATTACCTCAAATCCCATCTTTTGGTACAGTTTGTTCGCAGGTCTATTGTTTCTATGCACATGCACATATACTTGTTCAATGCCTGCATATCCAAATGATTGGATTAGAAGAGAAATGTCTTGTCTTTCATTGCACAACTCCTGCTGCTTCTTTAGGAAAGATATTTATCATCTTACCATCCGATCTGGCCAATTCAATGACAAAATACAACATGTTACTAGCAATGCTTTGTCTACGTGCTGATTTGGCAACACATAAGTTGGATACGTAACCATACTTATTCATGTCTGCTGTATGGATACCGCAGGAGAGAGGCTTCCCAAGTTCCTGCTAGATGATTACATACACCAATTAACAAATAGTCAACATGAGTAACATTAGGGAAGGCACTTTGCATTTAAGCAGAAAACACTGTACCCCAGGAAAGGACTCTCCATGCAACAAGTGTCGAATGCTAAAATCAAGGGTGCCAACCACACTTTTTAGTATTGTGCGTTTTACATTTCTATCTTCCTTCTTAACCTGTTAATTTGTGAAAGTATAATGTGAAAATTAAATACTAGAAAGACAAATACATGCAACCATGAAACCTACCTTTCTTTTTCACATCATCATGGAGTGAAGAAAAAATGAAATAAATACAAATTAATAGAAAAACTTTAAGAATAACAACATACCGTGATGATGCACCTACATTTCTGCCAATGTTGGCCTTTACATCTCCTTTTTATGGCATTAAACTCCTGGAAAATAAAGAAAACTTCTAAGAATATTCCCATAGAAGTATAGATGTTTTTATGTATTTCTGAGCTGAACAAATAGATGAAAGAAATAAAACAGAATGGTAGTTGATCCTACCTGCTCTGCAAATTTCCTTTTGAAGTTATCAACATATCTGCATTTGTCACAGATAACTACAATCAGCCGTGTCCAACTTCCACTTATACATCAATATACCGACTTCAACCCATGAACACAACATATATGCATAGGAGTAGGACACAGACCCAGACCTTAGTTGATCCATCTATATAAGCGACTAGCTGCCATACCTAATTGATATTTGCAAGAATTGGATGTATCAACTATCTTCTTCTAAGCCCAACATGTCATTTATTTCTTTGCATACAATGACAGGGTTGCTCCTCTACCTCTATGATATATAAGCAACTCAAAAGATGATAAATCGCTACCTAATTGGGTAAAATTCCCTTCTTTAGATGAATCTAACAATGAAGCAAATGGATGTTAAATTCATTTATTAAAAAAAAAAAAAAAACTTTCGAAATGTAATTCATACCTCTCACTTGGTTTACCTTCCCAATGGCTCTCCGCTCGCAACCATGCTGCTGTCTAAAAAAAATCACAAAATAATAATCCCAAAACCATTACAAAATTGTTTCTTTCCCCTTTCTAGTTTAGAATTTAGATTGCATATAAATGGCATACCCAGAATTCTTCATCAACCATGGCCTCTCGTGCCACAAATTGCCCAAAATCAAATCTTTCCCCTGGCTTCAGCCCCTGATGCGACGTCTGCAGCCGGTCGAATCTTAAATCAGACGGCCTTGATGTTTCCAGATGAGGAATCGACGGCGTTTTTGCTGTCTGTATGGAAAGCTCCTCCTTCTTCCTCGTTTGGGAAGATTTAGATTCCATCTTTCTACCAGTTTCCACCGTAAAAATCAACAATCAATAACAATAAATTCCTCAGACAATCTCCGAATTGAAATTAGGAAAAGCAAACTCACATAGTCGTCCCACGGGAAGGAATTCTGTGAAACCTATGACAGGCGCTGGATCCATTGCGAGAAGAACAAGAAAAGAATTCTGCTCTGTGAATTGTAATCGTAGACATCAGAAGAACGAAGCGTCCTCCAGATTAATTGTTCTAGAACAATCCCTAGAATTCGGAACCGGTTTCCTCCTCTCTGGCAACGGAGTACCAGAGAATTCGATCCCCGTGAAAAACACGAGGGAAACGAAAACGGGAGAGATGTTAAAAAGCCAAAAAGGAATTGCTATTGCCAGAGTAAGGATTCCTCAATAGATAAAAAGTAAAAAGTGAATATTAAGACAAACATTTTATCATTTCACATATCAGGATATCTTACAATATTATTTAAATATTTTAAACAATTTTTTTAGTATTGATTTATTAAAAATATTTTAATTTATTATTTTTATTTTTATCATTTTAATTGTGAGAATGTCTTTTTTTTTTTAATTTTTAATAAAATATAAAAAAAATTTAATAAAAATAAAATATTATATTTTAAAATAACATATTATATATAATTATGAATTATATTAAAAAAATAACCCTCTCACATTTTTAAATTCTTTTTCACTCAATTTAAATTTCAAATTTAAAAATTTTGATTTAAAACTTTAAATTTCTAATCGTTGAATTATTTTATTAATGTTGGTAAAATATTGCATAAATAAATACTCCACGCATACAGCAACACCTCAGGTGGTGGAGAGATAGCGTGTTTTTGGCTGGAGATAAAATCCTCCAGGAAAAAGAAGAATTAGATACAGGTTGAGTTGCTGAGTTTTGTGATGGACCATGAAAAACAGGATAAGAGCAAAACAAATTTTTAGGGATGATCCACAGTGGCAAAAGGAGGTTGGTTACATATGTGTTTTTATGACTAGTGAGGTGTGTGCATGTGAGCTGTTAAGAGCAGAGCAGACACAGATTATACAGCATGCGGTTAAGCATACCGTTTCGTGTAGAAAACCTGATGGTTTACGTATCATTTTCAGAGAGTATATGGATACTTGCTTTTTGAACCTCTTAATTGTTTGGGTAGCTTCACGATCCTATATTGTAAATATTTTCACTTGTTTCAACACTTAAAAATCTCAATGATGTTACATCGAAAAAAAACATTTCAACACTCAAATTAGCAATACTCAATGTTTTAAAAAGAATAATTACAAAAAGAAAAGTGTAATGAAGTTAATACCTTGAATGAAGGTAGTTTGAGATATTTATAATCTCATGTGCTGACATGAGCATCTGATTGGTTCACGTGTTACCACCCACGTGAATATGTCTGTACTAGTGTATAAATGTCTCTTTATTTTGGTTTTATGGATGCATGACTGACCTGTTGTGTATGATCCAGATTGAATGTTGGCCCTTCTCAACATTAATCATTACCAAGAATCATTTTCTTTAAAACCATTTGATTTTATTGTCTGATTCTAATAATAATTTTTTTTTCTTCTTTAAAAACAGAAATACATTTCAATAAACTATACAGTGATTTAGATAGTTCTAGTGTATATATGTTTATAAAAATAGATTAAATGTTAATTTTGATCCTTTAATTTCAAAATTTAGAAGCCAAAACAACCTAATTGACCCCCAAAAAATTGTCCTTTCAAAAACAAAAACCTAAAACAAATTTCCCCTGAAATAAAAACAACCCAAAATTAAAAACCCGAAAAAAATTTAAAATAACAAAAAAAGTAAAAGAAAAAAAAAAAAGTTGAACCTAAATTTTTGTGGGGAAAAAAGGGGGTTTAATGGTAAATTTGGGGGTTTTTTTTAGGTTTAAATTATGGAGGGTATTGACCATGAAGAAATTAGTTAGAGTATTAACGGTGAAAAAAAAAGAGTCTAATATGCAAATAGAGGTTTGGCCAATTTTGTATAGTTTTGATTCTTTATTTTTTTTAAGGAATTTTTTGGTTCCTGAACAAGAAAAAAAAAATTTTTTAAAAATTTTTGTCAATTAATTTGTTAACTTTGTTACATATTTAATTTTTTATCGCTCAAATATAAAATTTTGCACAATTTTCGTCCTTCAACTTAAAAGTTCAAAAAATGAAAATGTGCCTATATTAACATATTTAATAAGCTAATGGATTAAAAAACTGAAAAAACACATTTTTAATAGTTGAAGGACTTAAAAAAAAATACATAAAAAAGTTGAAGAATCAAAATTAATATTTTAACCATAAAAAAGAAACAGTTTACAATATTGCTCATAAAAAAATTGTTTTATATTCCAAATTATATCAAATTACAAAACAATTATCTTTAGATCAAGGAAGAATAAGGAAGAACTAGTATCCTTCTCTATGAAGGGCCTTGATTTTACTGTTTAAATGATGAAAACCCATCACTTATTACATAAGTTTCATTTGAGAAAACTCCACTGATATGAATTTTATTTTAGCAGTATATTATATAGTATTTCACATCAAAAAGAAACCCAGGTGACACAGATGGACAACAAATTCAGTGAGCCACCACAATGGTGACCGAACATAAAGAACCACACAAATCACAGCCCAAATATATAACAAGCAGCGGCATCTGAAATGGGAGAAATGCTAGAAAAACTTGGTATCATCTTCTTTAGCCTTCAAAATCAGTTTTCACCCACTGAGCATACTTGCTCTTCATCTTCTCATCTAGTTCCTTGGCTCTAACCTCAGCAATCTTAGCTGCATTTGCCATTGATTCCTCCTGCACTTTCGCAATTCGGCGGTTCCTTCGCTTCGCTGTTTCCTCCCTCTCTGCCTCCAATCCTTCGTATTCGCTCATCCAACAGCTGTGCACAACGCAGGTGAGGACTAGCAGCACCAACTGAACCAGCACCATTGCCATCAATATCCCACACTCCAATCTTGCCAAAACCATGGCCTCTCTTGGGTCTCGGGGCGATTTCAGCATTGAAAGACTCGTTTTTTCTTTGGTAAATAGGGTTAATACACCGAGCATTTGCCCAATCAAGGAGGCGAGTAGAAGGGACATGTGGGTCATGTAGCAGAAATGGGTGAGCTGGGAGTAGAAACCCAGGAAGGAGGAGAAAAGGGAGAAGGATGAGACCATTAGAAATGCTAAACCCAATGAAGTTGGGGGCATTTTGAGGAGAATAATGGGAACGAGAGAGGCTGCAGAGAGGATAAAGAGAGTGAAGTTCAAGCACGAGAGGAGAACATTTGGAAAAGAAAATGAGCTTCTAAGCTTGGAGGAAATCATTTTGGGTTTGGTAGGAGTTTAGCTGGGTTCTGGGTTTGCTTTGGAGAGAGGATGGACATTATGAATTTATAGAGGATAGGATATTAACGTTGGGAGAATGTAACGGCTAGGTGCAACCACAGAGAGGAGAGGGGCCACGTTATGTCCTCGAATTATGCACATCATCCATTTTCCCTCCCCATTGTTTCAAAATGGTTTGTTTTTTTTTTTTTTTTTTTCCTTGCCAAGAATAAAAAAATTGTTTGGATTCTAAAGATATGTTCGCCTTTTGCCCTTGCTAGCAACAAAATTGTGCATGAAAAGTCTAAATCACTTTGTAAAGTAACACCTCAAGAAACTTTAAATAAGACATGGATATGTAATGTCCCTTGGCAACTTCAAAGCTCTAATCTAGGTCTTACTAGCTCAAATCGTGAGTTTCTCACACCAATGAAGAAATCGCTTGTTTGAATCTTGGGAAGGGTAAGACAGACTTGGAAAGGGGAAAGCCGTCCTCATTGTAGGGTATAACTAAAGTTCCCTGAAGCAAATAATGTACTTCTTGACTAAGAGACGATCTGATGGAAAAATGAGGCACTACCTTATGCTTCAACAATGACAGAAGTAGAAATTTCCTTCTCTAAAAATTGCCTAGTTGGGACTTTGGAACTTGAGAAGGCACTTCAAGTTAAAGTATAACTCCATCACCATGCCTATGACTTGAACCAAGTATAGAATCCTCAAAGAGACAGTACGTACCAAGATCGTGAATATACATGATTTCAATGGCAAAGAAGGACTAGTAGTTGTGGATGAATAACAGCAATGGCAAGAAAAGCTGCTGTTTTATTAAAAGTTCTATACATGAATA